ATAGTATAACTTAGTATAGTTAAATATCATAGTTATTCTGTACATATAATCATATGGGGCAATTGACGCATTTGATAAAATATAGTGATCTTAATAAGCACCATATGGCACGTTGCTATGGTGAAATGTACTTAGTACAAATATAATATTGTGTGTTGTGTGTGTGTGTGTGTGTGTGTGTGTGTGTGTGTGTGTTTTGTTGTGTGTGTGTGTGTGTGTGTGTGTGTGCTTCGATTGACTTGAGTTAGACTTAGAATGTGACTGACAACATTAAGTCTTAAAATAAGCTAACTTCTGGACCATCGAGGCAAACAAACAGCTTGCTTGAACAATTTGGACAGCAATAATGCTGGAAGCAGCCATGAACAGCGTAGTGTCAGTCAAGGAATCAAGGAGACCAAGAATGATCCTAACAGTGGACCTTTAAGAGATCTTACACAAAGGCATAAACTCCCTTATTACTGCAAGTGAATTCAGCCTTTCCAATTTCCGGACTACGTAAGTGCGTAGATGCCAGAACAACTGTAAGTCAAGAGTTGAACCTGGGACCAGAGACAGAGTATCTCACAACACAACTTCTGATAACATCAAACATCAGTAAGTCTAAATAGTGTTCTGTGAACAGAGTTGTATAGGACTTACGAAATTGTAATGACACGATTGAAAACAAACCATATCACAGACGGGGTAGAACCCGCTAAAGCGACGGTCTGGAGTTTTGAGACTCTCTGATCGCGGGTTCTATCCCCATCCTTGGTATAGAGTTGTACAGAGTTATGAGATGTAGGTCCCAGCTCACCATCAGAGATAAACTCTATCAAAAACAAAGTCTAAATATCCTGATTTGAGGAGAACAGTGTTCTCCTAGAGACAGCAGAGATGGAGGTGTTACCACCACCAGGAACACAGAGAGAGAGAGAAACAGGACCTACAGATACAACATTGACTTACCTGCACCAGCTTGCGCCTGACACGAACTGCGTAACAAGCAGGCATGGAGTCGCTGCCATTCTAAATTCTCCGTCAACGAACACATTAAGAGATATAGTTGTTAAATTCTACCTACATATATAAACTAATGCAAGTCAGATAATAATATCCAACTGTGGGTCATCATATGACTAAGACCCGCGTCAGGAAATATTTGTCCTGTTTCCTGACAAACCTTACCTAACCTAACCTAACCTAACCTAACCTAACCTAACCTAACCTAACCTAACATAATCTAACCTAACCTAACCTAATATAAATGCACGGAATATTTATTCTAGCTATGATTGAAAACATCGAAGTCAAATTATATGAAAGAAATCGACATACACATTTATGACGTCCTTTTTCTGAGGTCACAATACCCAGGTACCTATTTACTGCTAGGTGAATATTAACAGCAGCAGCAGGTGTAAGGTAACTTGCACATACGTCTCACCCTGCCCAGATATCTAACCCAGGTCCCTTTGATTGTAAACCGAAGTGTCTTGTACTACTATGTCTGAAGAATATCCAGTAAGCCTTATTCATTCCTTCCTTCATTCCTTGCTTCATTCCTTAATTCTTTCGTTCCATCATTTCTTTCATTCTTTCCTTCGTTCCTTCTTTTATTCCCTACATCATTCCTTATTTCATTCCTTCCTTCATTCTTTCATTTATTTCCTTTTTCATTCTTTCCCTCATTTCATCCTGTTATTTATTTCATTTCATTCATCGCTTCCTTCGTTCCTTCATTCCTTCTTCCATTTATTTCTTTTATTCCTTCCTTCACTCCTTCCTTCATTTCTGCTTGCTTTCATTTCTTCATTCCTTTATTCCTGCCTTCATTTTTCATTCTTTGAATTATTCGTTCGTTCCTTCATTCCTGCATTCCTTCCTCCATTTCTTCATTCATTACCTTCATTCTTATCTTCCGTCATTCTTAACTTCATTCTTTCATTCTCACCTTAATTTCTTCCTTCATTCCTTCCTTCATTCATTCTTACCTTCCTTCATTCTTACCTTCTTTCATTCCTTCATTCTTACCTTCCTTCATTTCTTCATTCTTACCTTCATTCATTCTTACCTTCATTCCTTCATTCATCCTTACCTTCCTTCATTCTTACCTTCCTTCATTCCTTCATGCATTCTTACCTTCTTTCATTCCTTCCTTCATTCTTACCTTCTTTCATTCCTTCATTCATTCTTACCTTCATTCATTCCTTCATTCTTACCTTCCTTCATTTCTTCATTCATTCTTACCTTCCTTCATTCATTCTTACCTTCCTTCCTTCTTACCTTCCTTCATTCTTACCTTTCCTTCCATTTACCTTCCTTCCTTCTTACCTTCCTTCATTCTTACCTTCCTTCATTCTTACCTTCCTTCATTCTTACCTTCCTTCATTCTTACCTTCCTTCATTCTTACCTTCCTTCATTCTTACCTTCCTTCATCATTCTTCTACCTTCCTTCATTCTTACCTTCCTTCATACCTTCCTTCATTCTTACCTTCCTTCTTCTTACCTTCCTTCATTCTTACCTTCCTTTCCCCATTCTTACCTTCCTTCTTCATTCTTAACCTTCCTTCATTCTTACCTTCCTTCATTCTTACCTTCCTTCATTCTTACCTTCCTTCATCTTCCTTCTTCTTCCTTCCTTCATACCTTCCTTCATTCTTACCTTCCTTCATCTTACCTTCCTTCCTTCCTTCTTCTTACCTTCCTTCATTCTTACCTTCCTTCATTCTTACCTTTCCTTCATTCTTACCTTCCTTCATTCTTACCTTCCTTCATTCTTACCTTCCTTCATTCTTACCTTCCTTCATTCTTACCTTCCTTCATTCTTACCTTCCTTCATTCTTACCTTCCTATCTTTTACTCTTCTTCTTACTCTTCCTATTCTTCATTCCTTTCCTTCTACTTCCTTCATTCTTACCTTCCTTCATTCTTACCTTCCTTCATTCTTACCTTCCTTCCTCTTCACCTTTCTTCTTTACCTTCCTTCATTCTTACCTTCCCTTCATTCTTACCTTCCCTTCCTTCATTCTTATCTCCTTCCTTCCTTCATTCTTAAACTTCCTTCCTTCATTCTTACCCTTCCTTCATTCTTACCTTCCTTCATTCTTACCTTCCTTCACTTCCTTCACCTTCCTTCTTCATTCTTACCTTCCTTCCTTCATTCTCTTACCTTCCTTCCTTCATTCTTACCTTCCTTCATTCTTACCTTTCCCCTTCATTCTTACCTTCCTTCATTCTTACCTTCCTTCCTTCATTCTTACCTTCCTTCCTTCATTCTTACCTTCCTTCCTTCATTCCTTACTCTTCCTTCATTCTTACCTTCCTTCATTCTTACCTTCCTTCTTCCTTCCTTCATTCTTACCTTCCTTCATTCTTACCTTCCTTCCTTCATTCTTCCCTTCCTTCATTCTTACCTTCCTTTTTCCTTCAATTCTTACCTTCATTCCATTTCCTTTTACCTTCCTTCATTCTTACCTTCCTTCATTCTTACCTTCCTTCATTCTTACCTTCCTTCATTCTTACCTTCCTTCTTTTCTTACCTTCCTTCCTTCATTCTTACCTTCCTTCCTTCATTCTTTTACCTTCCTTCCTTCATTCTTACCTTCCTTCTCTTACTTACCTTCCTTCATTCTTACCTTCCTTCCTTCATTCTTACTTCCCTTCACTTCCTTCTTCTTCTTACCTTCCTTCCTCATTCTTACCTTTTCCCTTCATTCTTACCTTCCTCTTCATTCTTACCTTCCTTCATTCTTACCTTCCTTCTTACCTTCCTTCATTCTTACCTTCCTTTCATTACCTTCCTTCATTCATCTTCCTTCCTTCATTCTTACCTTCCTTCCTCATTCTTACCTTCTTCTTCATTACTCTTCCTTCCTTTCCTTCCTTCATTCTTACCTTCCTTCATTCTTACCTTCCTTCATTCTTACCTTCCTTCATTCTTACCTTCCTTCATTCTTACCTTCCTTCCTTCATTCTTACCTTCCTTCATTCTTACCTTCCTTCATTCTTACCTTCCTTCATTCTTACCTTCCTTCCTTCATTCTTACCTTCCTTCCTTCATTCTTACCTTCCTTCCTTCATTCTTACCTTCCTTCATTCTTACCTTCCTTCATTCTTACCTTCCTTCATTCTTACCTTCCTTCATTCTTACCTTCCTTCCTTCATTCTTACCTTCCTTCCTTCATTTCTTACCTTCCTTCATTCTTACCTTCCTTCATTCTTACCTTCCTTCATTCTTACCTTCCTTCATTCTTACCTTCCTTCCTTCATTCTTACCTTCCTTCATTCTTACCTTCCTTCATTCTTACCTTCCTTCATTCTTACCTTCCTTCATTCTTACCTTCCTTCATTCTTACCTTCCTTCATTCTTACCTTCCTTCATTCTTACCTTACCTTCATTCTTACCTTCCTTCATTCTTACCTTTCCTTCATTCTTACCTTCCTTCATTCTTACCTTCCTTCATTCTTACCTTCCTTCCTTCATTTCTTACCTTCCTTCCTTCATTCTTACCTTCCTTCCTTCATTCTTACCTTCCTTCCTTCATTCTTACCTTCCTTCACACTATTTCCAACTATCAGCTCCTGGTTCATCAGTTATTTTTACCTGCCTCTTACGTTTACCTTACAGACAGGTGCTGCTTTCCCCCTCTTTCCTCGCTACCCCCTATCCCCCTCCCTTCCCCTCACCTGCAACCAGCTAAGGGGGGTGAAAATCATCCCCACCTCCCTTTTACAACCCCTTTACACCCCTCCCTCCTCCCCCTTAGTCCCACCACCCAATGTTTACTCTTCATCCTGCCTGTTTCTCAACCTTTTCTAGGTGCCCCTCAAGGGGGTCTTTGCCCCCTAGGGGGGTATGTCGCAATCCCCTGTGGTTATACCCCCTTGTGGATGTGGGTAAAGGGGTCGGGCCCCCTACCCCTACAGGAGCAAATCGAGGATAAAGAGAGTAACTTTCCGGACTGTAAAGGCCTAGAATTGTGTGGTTGGAGGTGCACAAATAACCCAGGTTGAGTATGGGTGGGTACGGGTGGGTTCTAAACCCTCGTGGGTATGTGGCCATGGGCTGTGGTTCAGTGGCCATCTCGTCGTCTTAGAGAGAACACTCTACCCACTCCCTATCCACCTTTAGATCGTCCCACACCCGGGTACCCACACTCCTGCAACCATGGTGAGTTTACTAACAGTGCCCTGGCTACCACAATACCCTGGCTACCACAATACCATGGCTGCCACAATACCCTGGCTTCCACAATACCCTGGCTACCACAATACCCTGGCTACCACAATACCCTGGCTACCACAATACCCTGGCTACCACAATACCCTGGCTACCACAATACCATGGCTGCCACAATACCCTGGCTTCCACAATACCCTGGCTACCACAATACCCTGGCTACCGCAATACCCTGGCTGCCACAATACCCTGGCTACCTCAATTACCAGCTAAAACACAGTCACAGTACCATGGCCACAATACCCTGGCTGCCACAATACCCTGGTTACCACAATACCCTGGCTACCACAATACCCTGGCTACCACAATACCCTGGTTACCACAATACCCTGGCTACCACAATACCCTGGCTACCACAATACCCTGGTTACCACAATACCCTGGCTATCACAATACCCTGGCTACCACAATACCCTGGCTACCACAATACCCTAGCTACCACAATACCCTGGCTACCACAATACCCTAGTTACCACAATACCCTGACTACCACAATACCCTGGTTACCACAATACCCTGGTTACCACAATACCCTGGCTACCACAATACCCTGGTTACCACAATACCCTGGTTACCACAATACCCTAGCTACCACAATACCTTGGCTACCACAATACCCTGACTACCACAATACCCTGGCTACCACAATACCCTGGTTACCACAATACCCTGGCTACCACAATACCCTGACTACCACAATACCCTGACTACCACAATACCCTGGTTACCACAATACCCTGGTTACCACAATACCCTGGCTACCACAATACCCTGGTTACCACAATACCCTAGCTACCACAATACCCTGGCTACCACAATACCCTGGTTACCACAATACCCTGGTTACCACAATACACTGGCTACCACAATACCCTGGCTACCGCAATACCCTGGCTGCCACAATACCTTGGCTACCTCAATTACCAGCTAAAACACAGTCACAGTACCATGGCCACAACAATACCCTGGCTGCCACAGTACCATGGCTACCACAACACCCTGGCTACCACAATACCCTGGCTACCACAATACCCTGACTACCACAATACCCTGACTACCACAATACCCTGGCTACCACAATACCCTGGCTACCACAATACCCTGGCTACCACAATACCCTGGCTACCACAATACCCTGGCTACCACAATACCCTGGCTACCACAATACCCTGGCTACCACAATACCCTGGCTACCACAATACCCTGGCTACCACAATACCCTGGCTACCACAATACCCTGGCTACACAATACCTGGCTACCACAATACCCTGGCTACCACAATACCCTGGCTACCACAATACCTGGCTACCACAATACCCTGGTTACCACAATACCCTGGCTACCACAATACCCTGGCTACCACAATACCCTGGCTACCACAATACCCTGGCTACCACAATACCCTGGCTACCACAATACCATGGCTACCACAATACCCTGGCTACCACAATACCCTGGCTACCACAATACCCTGATTACCACAATACCCTGGCTACCACAATACCCTGGCTACCACAATACCCTGGCTACCACAATACCCTGGCTACCACAATACCCTGGCTACCACAATTAACAACAGTCAAGAATACTTTAATACTGAAAGCTCTCAGTGTATATACACTGATATATACAACTCTCAGTGTATATACACTCATATATACACCTCTCAGTGTATATACACTGATATATACAACTCTCAGTGTATATACACTGATATATACAACTCTCAGTGTATATACACTGATATATACAACTCTCAGTGTATATACACTGATATATACAACTCTCAGTGTATATACACTGATATATACAAACTCTCAGTGTATATACACTGATATATACAACTCTCAGTGCATATACACTGATATATACAACTCTCAGTGTATATACACTGATATATACAACTCTCAGTGTATATACACTGAGATATACATCTCTCAGTGTATATACACTGATATATACATCTCTCAGTGTATATACACTGATATATACACCTCTCAGTGTATATACACTGATATATACACCTCTCAGTGTATATACACTGAGATATACACCTCTCAGTGTATATACACTGAGATATACACCTCTCAGTGTATATACACTGAGATATACAACTCTCAGTGTATATACACTGAGATATACACCTCTCAGTGTATATACACTGATATATACACCTCTCAGTGTATATACACAGATATATACCTCACAGTGTATATACACTGATATATACAACTCTCAGTGTATATACACTGATATATACATCTCTCAGTGTATATACACTGATATATACACCTCAGTGTATATACACAGATATATACCTCACAGTGTATATACACTGATATATACAACTCTCAGTGTATATACACTGATATATACAAATCTCAGTGTATATACACTGATATATACAACTCTCAGTGTATATACACTGATATATACACCTCTCAGTGTATATACACTGATATATACAACTCTCAGTGTATATACACTGATATATACAACTCTCAGTGTATATACACTCATATATACACCTCTCAGTGTATATACACTGATATATACAACTCTGTGTATATACACTCATATATACACCTCTCAGTGTATATACACTGATATATACAACTCTCAGTGTATATACACTGATATATACACCTCTCAGTGTATATACACTGATATATACAACTCTCAGTGTATATACACTCATATATACACCTCTCAGTGTATATACACTGATATATACACCTCTCAGTGTATATACACTGATATATACACCTCTCAGTGTATATACACTGATATATATGTAGTGTTAGAGTGTTCAGCAGAAGTTTGTGGTTACAGGAAAGTGGGTGCAGGAGGGAAGAGGAGCGATTGGTGGAATGATGATGTAAAGAGAGTAGTAAGGGAGAAAAAGTTAGCATATGAGAAGTTTTTACAAAGTAGAAGTGATGCAAGGAGGGAAGAGTATATGGAGAAAAAGAGAGAAGTTAAGAGAGTGGTGAAGCAATGTAAAAAGAGAGCAAATGAGAGAGTGGGTGAGATGTTATCAACAAATTTTGTTGAAAATAAGAAAAAGTTTTGGATGTGAGATTAACAGTTAAGAAAGCCTAGAGAACAAGGGATTTGTCAGTTAAAAATAGGAGAGGAGAGTTATTAAATGGAGAGTTAGAGGTATTGGGAAGATGGAAGGAATATTTTGAGGAATTGTTAAATGTTGATGAAGATAGGGAAGCTGTGATTTCGTGTATAGGGCAAGGAGGATAACATCTTGTAGGAGTGAGGAAGAGCAGTTGTGAGTGTGGGGGAAGTTCGTGAGGCAGTAGGTAAAATGAAAGGGGGTAAGGCAGCGGGATTGATGGGATAAAGATAGAAATGTTAAAAGCAGGTGGGGATATAGTTTTGGAGTGGTTGGTGCAATTATTTAATAAATGTATGGAAGAGGGTAAGGTACCTAGGGATTGGCAGAGAGCATGCATAGTTCTTTGTATAAAGGCAAAGGGGATAAAAGAGAGTGGCAAAAATTATAGGGGGATAAGTCTGTTGAGTGTACCTGGTAAAGTGTATGGTAGAGTTATAATTGAAAGAATTAAGAGTAAGACGGAGAATAGGATAGCAGATGAACAAGGAGGCTTTAGGAAAGGTAGGGGGTGTGTGGACCAGGTGTTTACAGTGAAACATATAAGTGAACAGTATTTAGATAAGGCTAAAGAGGTCTTTGTGGCATTTTTGGATTTGGAAAAGGCGTTATGACAGGGTGGATAGGGGGGCAATGTGGCAGATGTTGCAAGTGTATGGTGTAGGAGGTAGGTTACTGAAAGCAGTGAAGAGTTTTTACGAGGATAGTGAGGCTCAAGTTAAGAGTATGTAGGAAAAGAGGGAAATTTTTTCCCAGTAAAAGTAGGCCTTAGACAAGGATGTGTGATGTCACCGTGGTTGTTTAATATATTTATAGATGGGGTTGTAAGAGAAGTAAATGCGAGGGTCTTGGCAAGAGGCGTGGAGTTAAAAGATAAAGAATCACACACAAAGTGGGAGTTGTCACAGCTGCTCTTTGCTGATGACACTGTGCTCTTGGGAGATTCTGAGAGAAGTTGCAGAGATTGGTGGATGAATTTGGTAGGGTGTGCAAAAGAAGAAAATTAAAGGTGAATACAGGAAAGAGTAAGGTTATGAGGATAACAAAAGATTAGGTGATGAAAGATTGAATATCAGATTGGAGGGAGAGAGTATGGAGGAGGTGAACGTATTCAGATATTTGGGAGTGGACGTGTCAGCGGATGGGTCTATGAAAGATGAGGTGAATCATAGAATTGATGAGGGAAAAAGAGTGAGTGGTGCACTTAGGAGTCTGTGGAGACAAAGAACTTTGTCCTTGGAGGCAAAGAGGGGAATGTATGAGAGTATAGTTTTACAACGCTCTTATATGGGTGTGAAGCGTGGGTGATGAATGTTGCAGCGAGGAGAAGGTGGAGGCAGTGGAGATGTCATGTCTGAGGGCAATGTGTGGTGTGAATATAATGCAGAGAATTCGTAGTTTGGAAGTTAGGAGGAGGTGCGGGATTACCAAAACTGTTGTCCAGAGGGCTGAGGAAGGGTTGTTGAGGTGGTTCGGACATGTAGAGAGAATGGAGCGAACAGAATGACTTCAAGAGTGTATCAGTCTGTAGTGGAAGGAAGGCGGGGTAGGGGTCGGCCTAGGAAGGGTTGGAGGGAGGGGGATAAGGAGGTTTTGTGTGCGAGGGGCTTGGACTTCCAGCAGGCATGCGTGAGCGTGTTTGATAGGAGTGAATGGAGACAAATGGTTTTTAATACTTGACGTGCTGTTGGAGTGTGAGCAAAGTAACATTTATGAAGGGATTCAGGGAAACCGGCAGGCCGGACTTGAGTCCTGGAGATGGGAAGTACAGTGCCTGCACTCTGAAGGAGGGGTGTTAATGTTGCAGTTTAAAAACTGTAGTGTAAAGCACCCTTCTGGCAAGACAGTGATGGAGTGAATGATGGTGAAAGTTTTTCTTTTTCGGGCCACCCTGCCTTGGTGGGAATCGGCCGGTGTGATAATAAAAAAAAAAAATATACAACTCTGTGTATATACACTCATATATACACCTCTCAGTGTATATACACTGATATATACAACTCTCAGTGTATATACACTGATATATACACCTCTCAGTGTATATACACTGATATATACACCTCTCAGTGTATATACACTGATATATACAACTCTCAGTGTATATACACTCATATATACACCTCTCAGTGTATATACACTCATATATACACCTCTCAGTGTATATACACTGATATATACACCTCTCAGTGTATATACACAGAGAGGTCCATAACCCACTATGAAAAACATAATGGGTTGTAGACTGACAGTCTTAGTTGTAAGTACTGCTGACAGTCTTAGTTGTAAGTACTGCTGACAGTCTTAGTTGTAAGTACTGCTGACAGTCTTAGTTGTAAGTACTGCTGACAGTCTTAGTTGTAAGTACTGCTGACAGTCTTAGTTGTAAGTACTGATGACAGTCTTAGTTGTAAGTACTGATGACAGTCATAGTTGTAAGTACTGCTGACAGTCATAGTTGTAAGTACTGCTGACAGTCTTAGTTGTAAGTACTGCTGTCAGTCTTAGTTGTAAGTACTGCTGACAGTCTTAGTTGTAAGTACTGCTGACAGTCTTAGTTGTAAGTACTGCTGACAGTCTTAGTTGTAAGTACTGCTGACAGTCTTAGCTGTAAGTACTACTGACAGTCTTAGTTGTAAGTACTGCTGACAGTCTTAGTTGTAAGTACTGCTGACAGTCTTAGCTGTAAGTACTGCTGACAGTCTTAGCTGTAAGTACTGCTGACAATCTTAGTTACAAGTACTGCTGAGAGTCTTAATTTTCAGTAGTGCTGATAGTCTTAGTTACAAGTACTGCCGACAGTCTTAGTTACAAGTACTGCCGACAGTCTTAGTTACAAGTACTGCCGACAGTCTTAGTTACAAGTACTGCCGACAGTCTTAGTTACAAGTACTGCTGACAGTCCTAGTTACAAGCACTGCTAACAGTCTTGGTTGTAAGTAGTGCTGACAGTCTTAGTTACAAGTACTGCTGACAGTCTTAGTTACAAGTACTGCCGACAGTCTTAGTTACAAGTACTGCCGACAGTCTTAGTTACAAAGTACTGCGACAGTCTTAGTTACAAGTACTGCCGACAGTCTTAGTTACAAGTACTGCTGACAGTCTTAGTTACAAGTACTGCTGACAGTCTTAGTTACAAGTACTGCTGACAGTCTTAGTTACAAGTACTGCTGACAGTCTTAGTTACAAGTACTGCTGACAGTCTTAGTTACAAGTACTGCTGACAGTCTTAGTTACAAGTACTGCCGACAGTCTTAGTTACAAGTACTGCTGACAGTCTTAGTTACAAGTACTGCCGACAGTCTTAGTTACAAGTACTGCTGACAGTCTTAGTTACAAGTACTGCTGACAGTCTTAGTTACAAGTACTGCCGACAGTCTTAGTTACAAGTACTGCTGACAGTCTTAGTTACAAGTACTGCCGACGTTTAGTTACAAGTACTGCTGACAGTCTTAGTTACAAGTACTGCCGACAGTCTTAGTTACAAGTACTGCTGACAGTCTTAATTATAAGTACTGCTGACAGTCTTAGTTACAGGTATTGCTGTCAGTCTTAGTTACAAGTACTGCTGACAGTCTTAGTTACAGGTATTGCTGTCAGTCTTAGTTACAAGTACTGCTGACAGTCTTAGTTACAAGTACTGCTGACAGTCTTAGTTACAGGTATTGCTGTCAGTCTTAGTTACAAGTACTGCTGTCAGTCTTAGTTACAAGTACTGCTGTCAGTCTTAGTTACAAGTACTGCTGACGTGTAGTGAGATATATCGATATAGGTATATCTGAGTTATACTAAGGTATTCTTAGGTATACTTAGGTATATCTGAGGTATACTGAGGCATATCTGATATATACCTAGGTATACTGAGGTATACTTAGGTATATCTGAGATATACTGAGGCATTCTGAGGTATGTCTGAGATATACTTGGGTATATCTGAGATATACTTGGGTATATCTGATATATATTTGGGTATATATGAGATATACTGAGGTATATAGATATACTGAGGTATATATGAGATATACTGAGGTATATCTGAGATATACTGAGGCATATATGAGATATACTGAGGTATATATGAGATATACTGAGGTATATATGAGATATACTGAGGTATATACGAGATATACTGAGGTATATATGAGATATACTGAGGAATATATGAATTATACTGAGGTATATATGAGATATACTGAGGTATATCTGAGATATACTGAGGTATATATGAGATATACTGAGGTATATGAGATATACTGAGGTATATATGAGATATACTGAGGTATATATGAATTATACTGAGGTATGAGATATACTGAGGTATATATGAATTATACTGAGGTATATATGAGATATACTGAGGTATATATGAGATACACTGAGGTATATCTGAGATATACTGAGGTATATATGAGATATACTGAGGTATATCTGAGATATACTGAGGTACATATGAGATATACTGAGGTATATCTGAGATATACTGAGGTAACTATGAGATATACTGAGGTATATCTGAGATATACTGAGGTATATCTGAGATATACTGAGGTATATCTGAGATATACTGAGGTATATGAGATACTGAGGTATATGAGATATACTGAGGTATATATGAGATATACTGAGGTATATCTGAGATATACTGAGGTATATCTGAGATATACTGAGGTATATATGAGATATACTGAGGTATATATGAGATATACTGAGGTATATATGAGATATACTGAGGTATATATGAGATATACTGAGGTATATATGAGATATACTGAGGTATATCTGAGATATACTGAGGTATATATGAGATATACTGAGGTATATCTGAGATATACTGAGGTATGAGATATACTGAGGTATATCTGAGATATACTGAGGTATATCTGAGATATACTGAGGTATATCTGAGATATACTGAGGTATATCTTCTGAGATATACTGAGGTATATCTGAGATATACTGAGGTGTACTAGAGTATACTGAGGTATACTAACACTGTATTCTCGACAGAATGAAGAACTGGACGAGGAGAAGATGGCCAGTAAGTATACTGACTTCCTTGGTTGTTTGTGTTTGTATTGTGTGTTTTTGGTAAGATTTTGTTGGGATTTTTAACCCCGGAGGGTTAGCCAGCCAGGACAACCCAAATAAGTCAGTGGATCATCAAGGACTGTGTCTTATTTCCATTGTGGACCTTCAATCTTGTCCCCCAGGATGCCACCCACACCAGTCTACTAACACCAACCAGGCTGTTACTGTTAGCCGCACGTAAACCAACGTTAGGTGCCTGTGAAAAGCCTTCTTGAAGACAGCCAGGGTAATCCCCATATGTATGCAGGAAGGCAGTTGAACAGTCTCGGGCCCCTGACACTTACTGTATTGTCTCTTAACGTGCTAGTGACACCCCTGCTTTTCATTGGGGGGATGTTGCATCGTCTGCCAAGTCTTTTGCTTTCGTTGTGAGTGATTTTCGTGTGCAAGTTCGGTACTAGTCCCTCTAGGATTTTCCAGGTGTATATAATCATGTATCTCTCCCGTCTGCGTTCCAGGGAATACAGGTTTAGGAACCTCAAGCGCTCCCAGTAATTGAGGTGTTTTATCCGTTATGCGCGCCGTTAAGGTTCTCTGTACATTTTCTAGGTCAGCAATTTCACCTGCCTTGAAAGGTGGTGTTAGAGTGCAGCAATATTCCAGCCTAGATAGAACAAGCGATCTGAAGAGTGTCATCATGGGCTTGGCCTCCCTAGTTTTGAAGGTTCTCATTATCCATCCTGTCGTTTTTCTAGCAGATGCGATTGATACAATGTTATGGTCCTTGAAGGTGAGATCCTTCGACATGATCACTCCCAGGTCTTTGACGTTGGTGTTTCGCTCTATTGTGTGGCTGGAATTTGTTTTGTACTCTGATGAAGATTTAATTTCCTCATGTTTACCATATCTGAGTAATTGAAATTTCTCATCGTTGAACTTCATATTGTTTTCTGCAGCCTACTGAAAGATTTGGTTGATGTCCGCCTGGCGCCTTGCAGTGTCTGCAATGGAAGACACTGTCATGCAGATTCGGGTGTCATCTGCAAAGGAAGACACGGTGCTGTGGCTGACATCCTTGTCTCATGTCAGTATGAGGATGAGGAACAAGATGGGAGCGAGTACTGTGCCTTGTGGAACAGAGCTTTTCACAGTAGCTGCCTCGGACTTTACTCTTTTGACTACTACTCTCTGTGTTCTGTTAGTGAGGAAATTATAGATCCATCTACCAACTTTTCCTGTTATTCCTTTAGCGCGCATTTTGTGCGCTATTACACCATGGTCACACTTGTCGAAGGCTTTTGCAAAGTCTGTATATATTACATCTGCATTCTTTTTGTCTTCTAGTGCATCTAGGACCTTGTCGTAGTGATCCAATAGTTGAGACAGACAGGAGCGACCTGCTCTAAACCCATGTTGCCCTGGGTTGTGTAACTGATGGGTTTCTAGATGGGTGGTGATCTTGCTTCTCAGGTTATCTTCCCAGCTTACTTCATTTAGGATCTGGTTGACATGGTCTCACCTTATATTTTGTCGTTGAAGTTGATTTTAGTGAAGGTTCCCTCGTGACTGATCACATTGTTGGTCTGGGGCGCCGTATGTACATGTCTGAACCTCTATTATGTTGTCACCTGACTATATTCTTTTTTCATATGGTAATATTTCGTATCAGATCATCATTGTTAGTGAAGATGAGGTCCAGTGTATTCTCCAGTCTTATTGACTATTATATCCTGGTTTAAGGTGAATTTGGTGCAGAGATTTAAAAGTTCGTGTGTGTGAGAGTTTTCATCTGAGTTGCCTCCTGGTGTTATCTCTGCTACAACATTATTTGCTACATTCCTCCATTTTAGGTGCCTTAGGTTAAAATCCTCCAGGAGCAAGATGTTTGGGGCAGGAGCTGGAAGATTTTCCAGACAGTGGTCTATTTACAAAAGCTGTTCCTGGAATTGTTGGGAAGTTGCATCCGGAGGCTTGTATACAACCACAATGACCAGGTTTCAGTTCTCGATCTTTACTGCCAAAACATCAACAATATTTGAGATGTTTAGAAGTTCTCAGCACATCAGTGACTAACGTACAGGCAAACCTTTTCCCTTCCTTTCGCCAGTTCACTCTCACATCTTTATAGGCTAAAAACCGGGATCCATGTGTGTGTGTACTCACCTAATTGTACTCACCTAATTGTGCTTGCAGGGGTCGATACACAGCTGCTGGCCCCCGCCTCTTCACTGATCGCTACTAGGTCCTCTCTCTCTCTGTTTCCAGAGCTTTGTCATACCTTGTCTTAAAGCTATGTATGGTTCCTGCCTCCACTACATCACTTTCTAGGCTATTCCACTTCCTGACGACTCTGTGACTAAAGAAATACTTCCTAACATCCCTATGACTCGTCTGAGTCTTCAGCTTCCAATTGTAACCCCTTGTTTCTGTGTCCCCTCTCTGGAACAACCTGTCTCTGTCTACCTTATCTATTCCACGCAGTATTTTGCATGTTGTTATCATGTCTCCCCTGACCCGCCTGTCCTCCAATGTCGTCAGTCCGATTTCCCTCAACCTTTCGTTGTAGGACATACCCCTGAGCTCCGGAACTAGCCTTGTTGCAAACCTTTGCACTTTCTCTAATTTCTTGACGTGCTTGACCAGGTAAGGGTTCCAAACTGTGTGTGTGTGTGTGTGTGTGTGTGTGTGTGTGTGTGTGTGTGTGTGTGTGTGTGTTGTGTGTGTGTGTGTTGTGTTTTTTTGTATGTTGTGATTGTGTGCTGTATGTGGTGTGTCGTGTTTGTGATGTTTGTGTATTGTGATTGTGTTGTCTGAGTGTTGTATTTGTATGTGTGTTGTACTCACCTAGTTGTGATTTCACGGGTCGAGTCTTAGTTCCTGGCCCCGCCTCTTCACTGGCCACTACTCGGTCACTCAACCCGCTCCTTGAGCCTTATCATACTTCTCCTTAAAGCTATGTATAGATCCTGCCTCCACTACATCAATACCCTGACAACTCTCTGACTGAAGAAATACTTCCTGACATCCCTGTGACTCATCTGAGTCTTCAACTTCCAACTGTGTCCCCTTGTTGCTGTGTCCCATCTCTGGAACATTCTGTCTCTGTCCACCTTGTCAATTCCTCTCAGTATTTTATACGTCGTTATCATACTCCCTCTATTTCTGTCCTCCAGTGTCGTCAGGTTGATTTCCCTTAACGTCTCCTCGTAGGACATACCCCTTAGCTCTGGGAATAGTCTTGTTGCAAACCTTTGCACTTTCTCTGATTTCCTTACATGCTTGGCTAGGTGGTGGTTCCAAACTGGTGCCGCATACTCCAATATGGGCCTAACGTACACGGTGTACAGTGTCCTGAATGATTCCTTATTAAGATGTCGGAATGCTGTTCTCGGGTTTGCCAGGCGTCCGTAAGCTGCCGCAGTTGTCTGGTTAGTGCGCGCCTCAGGAGATGTGCTCGGTGCTACACTCATCTCAAGATCCTTTTCCTTGAGTGAGGTTTGTAGTCTCTGGTTCCCTAGACTGTACTCCGTCTGTGGTATTCTTTGTCTTTCCACAATCTTCATTATTTTGCACTTGGTGGGGTTGAACTCCAGGAGCCACTTGCTGGACCAGGTCTGCAGCCTGTCCAGATTCTCTTGTAGTTCTGCCTGGTCTTCGTTCGTTTGAATTCTTCTCAACTTCACATCATCTGCAAACAGGGACACTTCGGAGTCTATTACTTCCGTCATGTTGTTCACAAATACCAGAAACAGCACCGGCCCTACGACTGATCCTTGTGGCACCCCGCTGGTCATAGGCGCCCACTCTGACATCTCTCCAAGTACCATGACTCGCTGTTGTCTTCCTGGCAGGTATTCCTTGATCCATTGTAGTGTCTTCCCTGTTATCCCTGCTTGGTCCTTCAGCTTCCGCAGTAATCTCTTGTGTGGAACTGTGTCAAACCTCTTCTTACAGTCCAAGAAAATGCACTCTACCTACCCCTGTTTGTGTTTTGTGTAAGATAAGATAAGATTTCGTTCGGATTTTTAACCCCGGAGGGTTAGCCACCCAGGATAACCCAAGAAAGTCAGTGCGTCATCGAGGACTGTCTAACTTATTTCCATTGTGGTCCTTAATCTTGTCCCCCAGGATGCGACCCACACCAGTCGACTAACATCCAGGTACCTATTTGCTGCTAGATGAACAGGACAACAGGTGTAAGGAAACGTGTCGAAATGTTTCCACCCGCCGGGAATCGAACCCGGGCCCTCCGTGTGTGAAGCGGGAGCTTTAGCTTGCTTCTGTTGAGAGATTGTGTAGTTTGTGTGCGATGTGTATTCTTCTCTTTTCCTTCATCCCCCTCCTCTAACTCCTCTTATTCCTTCTCCTCCTCCTCCTCTAACTCCTCTTATCCTTCTCCTCCTCCTCCTCTAACTCCTCTTATTCCTTCTCCTCCTCCTCCTCTAACTCCTCTTATTCCTTCTCCTCCTCCTCCTCTAACTCCTCTTATTCCTTCTCCTCCCCCCTCCTCTAACTCCTCTTATTCCTTCTCCTCCTCTCCTCTAACTCCTCTTATTCCTTTCCTCCTCCTCCTCTAACTCCTCTTATTCCTTCTCCTCCTCCTCCTCTAACTCCTCTTATTCCTTCCCCTCCTCCTTCTCTTCTAACTCCTCCTCTTCTTCCTTCCCCTCCTCCTTCTCTTCTAACTCCTCCTCTTCTTCCTCCTCCTCCTCCTCCTCTTCTAACTCTTCTTACTGCTCTTCCTTCTTCTCCATCACCTCCATCTTCATCTTTTTCGTAAAGTTAGCGGTTAAAAGTACCATAAATAATCATCCATTTTCTTTAAGGGTTAAAAGCGCAGAAAAATATCATCTTTAAGACACAATATTTCAAGGGTATATTTCCCATGCTTTAGTCTCCAAGCCGTTATAGAAAATGGACGCAAAATGGTCTTTTTAGGGTAACTTAGGCAATTTTCAAGAAATTTCTCGTTAGAGAGATATTGAACCAAGTTGGTGTTGCCACTGTTCATCTATCATACAGAATAGTGTAGCAACATAGCTGGTGTTCCACAATGTAACTATCATACAGAATAGTGTAGCAACATAGCTGGTGTTCCACAACGTAACTATCATACAGAATAGTGTAGCAACATAGCTGGTGTTCCACAATGTAACTATCATACAGAATAGTGTAGCAACATAGCTGGTGTTCCACAACGTAACTATCATACAGAATAGTGTAGCAACATAGCTGGTGTTCCACAATGTAACTATCATACAGAATAGTGTAGCAACATAGCTGGTGTTCCACAATGTAACTATCATACAGAATAGTGTAGCAACACACTGCTGGTGTTCCATAATGTATCAAACAGAATAGTGTAGCAACACTGCTGGTGTTCCACAGTGTAACTATCATATAGAATAGTGTAGCAACACTGCTGGTGTTCCACAGTGTAAACTATCATATAGAATAGTGTAGCAACACTGCTGGTGTTCCACAGTGTAACTATCATATAGAATAGTGTAGCAACACTGCTGGTGTTCCACAGTGTAACTATCATATAGAATAGTGTAGCAACACTGCTGGTGTTCCACAGTGTAACTATCATATAGAATAGTGTAGCAACACTGCTGGTGTTCCACAGTGTAACTATCATATAGAATAGTGTAGCAACACTGCTGGTGTTCCACAGTGTAACTATCATATAGAATAGTGTAGCAACACTGCTGGTGTTCCACAGTGTAACTATCATATAGAATAGTGTAGCAACACTGCTGGTGTTCCACAGTGTAACTATCATATAGAATAGTGTAGCAACACTGCTGGTGTTCCACAGTGTAACTATCATATAGAATAGTGTAGCAACACTGCTGGTGTTCCACAATGTAACTATCATATAGACTAGTTTAGCAACACTGCTGGTGTTCCCACAATGTAACTATCATATAGACTAGTTTAGCAACACTGCTGGTGTTCCCACAATGTAACTATCATATAGACTAGTGTAGCAACACACTGCTGGTGTTCCCACAATGTAACTATCATATAGAACACAGTAGCACACTATGTTCCATCATAAAGGCTAGGGTAATAGGCCCCCAATGAGCCTAGTCTTGTCAACAATTTATATTCCTTGCTCACCAGTGCTTCGCAAGGCCTTCGCCATGTTTGACAGCGGCAAGACTGGCAAGATTGAGAAAGAAAAAATTCGTACCATTCTGAACACACTTGGTGCTAACTACATCAATGAGGAATTGGAAGCTCTCTTACAGGATAATGATTTGGAAGGTAAGTGTGTTGGGGTTGAGTGTGTTGGGGTTGAGTGTGTTGGGGTTGAGTGTGTTGGGGTTGAGTGTGTTGGGGTTGTGTGTGTTGGGGTTGAGTGTGTTGGGGTTGTGTGTGTTGGGGTTGAGTGTGTTGGGGTTGAGTGTGTTGGGGTTGAGGGTGTTGGGGTTGAGTGTGTTGGGGTTGAGTGTGTTGGGGTTGAGTGTGTTGGGGTGTGTGTGTGTTGGGGTTGAGTGTGTTGGGGTTGAGTGTGTTGGGGTTGAGTGTGTGTTGGGGTTGTGTGTGTTGGGGTTGAGGGTGTTGGGGTTGTGTGTGTTGGGGTTGTGTGTGTTGGGGTTGAGGGTGTTGGGGTTGAGTGTGCTTGGGGTTGTGTGTGTTGGGGTTGAGTGTGTTGGGGTTGTGTGTGTTGGGGTTGAGTGTGTTGGGGTTGAGGGTGTTGGGGTTGTGTGTGTTGGGGTTTGAGTGTGTTGGGGTTGAGTGTGTTGGGGTTGAGTGTGTTGGGGTTGAGTGTGTTGGGGTTGAGTGTGTTGGGGTTGAGTGTGTTGGGGTTGTGTGTGTTGGGGTTGAGTGTGTTGGGGTTGTGTGTGTTGGGGTTGAGTGTGTTTGGGTTGAGTGTGTTGGGGTTGTGTGTGTGGGGTTGAGTGTGTTGGGGTTGTGTGTGTTGGGGTTTGTGTGTGTTGGGGTTGAGGGTGTTGGGGTTGAGTGTGTTGGGGTTGTGTGTGTTGGGGTTGTGTGTGTTGGGGTTGAGTGTGTTGGGGTTGTGTGTGTTGGGGTTGAGTGTGTTGGGGTTGTGTGTGTTGGGGTTGAGTGTGTTGGGGTTGAGTGTGTTGGGGTTGAGGGTGTTGGGGTTTTGTGTGTTGGGGTTGAGGGTGTTGGGTTGAGTTGTTGGGGTTGAGGGTGTTGGGTTGAGGGTGTTGGGTTGTGTGTGTTGGGGTTGAGGGTGTTGGGGTTGAGTGTGTTGGGGTTGAGGGTGTTGGGGTTGGAGTGTGTTGGGGTTGTGTGTGTTGGGGTTAGAGTGTGTTGGGGTTGAGTGTGTTGGAGGTTGTGTGTGTTGGGGTTGAGGGTGTTTGGGTTGAGTGTGTTGGGGTTGAGGGTGTGTTGTGAGGGTTGAGTGTGTTGGTAGTTGAGTGTGTTGGGGTTTGTGTGTTGGGTTTGTAGTGTGTTTGGGTTGAGGGTGTTGGGGTTGTGTGTGTTGGGGTTGGGTGTTGGGTTTGAGTGTGTTGGGAGTTGAGGTGTGTTGGGGTTTGATTGTGTTGGGGTTTGAGGGTGTTGGGGTTGAGAGTTGTTGGAGGTTGAGTGTGTTGGGGTTGTGTTGTTGGGGTTGAGGGTTGTTGGGGTTGAGTGTGTTTGGGGTTGAGTGATGTTGGGGTTGAGTGTGTTGGGGTTTTGTGTGTGTTGGGTTTGAGGGTGTTGGGTTGAGTTGTTGGGGTTGAGGGTGTTGGGGTTGAGTGTGTTGGGGTTGAGTGTGTTGGGGTTGAGTGTTGTTGGGGTTGTGTGTGTTGGGTTTGAGGGTGTTGGGTTTGAGGTTGTTGGGGTTGAGTGGGTGTTGAGGTTGTGAATGTGTTGGGGTTGAGGGTGTTGGGGGTTTTAGGGTGTTGGGGTTGAGTGTGCTTGTTGAGTAGTGTTGGGATTGATTGTGTTGGGATTGAGTACGTTGGGGTGAGTGTGTTGGGGTTGAGTGTGTTGGGAGTTCAGTTGTGTTGGGGTTTCGAGTGTGTCGGGGTTTGCAGCGGGTGGGGACTGTGTGTGTTGGGGTTGAGTGGGTGGGGCTGAGTGTGTTGGGGCTGAGTGTGTTGGGGTTGAGTGGGTGGGGACTGAGTGTGTTGGGGCTGAGTTGTGTTGGGGTTGAGTGTTGTTGGGGATGATGTGGTTGGGATGAGTGTGTAGGGGTTGAGTGTGGTTGGGGCTGAGTGTGTTGGGTTGAGTGGGTGGGGCATAATGGCTAGTGTGAAGAGTGTGAGAGGGAGGGTGTGAATTGATCCTTGGCAAGTTTGCACCTGGGGAGCTGGTGGTAGCGGTAATCTGGGTGGTACTACCATCTGGGTGGTGGACTACCATCCATGGGTGGTACTACACTCCTGGGTGGTACTACATCCTGGGTGGTACTACCAATCCTGGGTGGTACCACCATCCTGGGTGGTATACCATCCTGGGTGTATACCATCCTGGGAGGTACTACATCCTGGTGGTACTACCATCCTGGGTGGTACTACCATCCTGGGTGGTACTACCATCCTGGGAGGTACTATCATCCTGGGTGGTACTACCATCCTGGGAGGTACTACCATCCTGGGAGGTACTATCATCCTGGGAGGTAGTACCATCCTGGGAGGTAGTACCATCCTGGGAGGTAGTACCATCCTGGGTGATACTATCATCCTGGGAGGTACTACCATCCTAGGTGGTACTACCATCCTGGGTGGTACTACCATCCTGGGAGGTACTATCATCCTGGGTGGTACTACCATCCAGGGAGGTACTATCATCCGGGGAGGTACTACCATCCTCGGTGGTACTACCATCCTGGGAGGTACTACCATCCTGAGAGGTACTGCCATCCTGGGAGGTACTATCATCCTGGGTGGTACTACCATCCTGGAAGATACTATCGTCCTGGGTGGTATTACCATCCTGGGTGGTACTATCATCCTGGGTGGTACTACCATCCTGGGTGGTACTATCATCCTGGGAGGTACTACCATCCTGGGAGGTACTATCATCCTGGGAGGTACTACCATCCTGGGAGGTACTACCATCCTGGGAGGTACTACCATCCTGGGAGGTACTACCATCCTGGGAGGTACTACCATCCTGGAAAGTACTACCATTCTGGGAGGTACTGCCACCCTGGGAGGTACTACCATCCTGGGAGGTACTACCATCCTGGGAGGTACTACCATCCTGGGAGGTACTACCATCCTGGGATGGTACTACCATCCTGGAGGTACTATCATCCTGGGTGGTACTACCATCCTGGGAAGTACTATAATCCTGGGAGGTACTACCATCCTGGATGGTACTACCATCCTGTGAGGTACTACCATCCTGGGTGGTACTGCAATCCTGGGAGGTACTACCCATCCTGGGTGGTACTACCATCCTGGGTGGTACTACCATCCTGGGTGGTACTACCATCCTGGGTGGTACTGCAATCCTGGGAGGTACTACCATCCTGGGTGGTACTACCATCCTGGGTGGTACTACCATCCTGGGTGGTACTACCATCCTGGGAGATACTACCATCCTGGGTGGTACTACCATCCTGGGTTGGTACTACCATCCTGGGAGGTACTACCATCCTGGGTGGTACTCCCAAACCTGGAGGTACTCCATCCTGGGAGGTACTACCATCCTGGGGGGTACTACAATCCTGGGTGGTACTACAATCCTGGGAGGTACTACCATCCTGGGTGGTACTTACCATCCTGGGAGGAACTACCATCCTGGGTGGTAGTACCAATCCTGGGTGGTACTACCATCTGGGAGGTACTACCATCCTGGGTGGTACTACCATCCTGGGTGGTACTACAATCCTGGGTGGTATACATCCTGGGAGGTACTACCATCCTGGGTGTACTACATCCTGGAATGGTACTATCCATTACGGAGGTACTACCATCCTGGGTGGTACTACCATCCTGGGTTGGTACTACCATCCTGGATGGTACTATCATCTGGGAGGTACTACCATCCTGGGAGGTACTACCATCCTGGAGGTACTACCATCCTGGGGAAAGGGACTACATCCTGGGAGGTACTACCATCCTGGGAGGTACTACCCCTCCTGGGTGGTACACCATCCTGGGAGGTACTACCTTCCGGGGGGGTACTACCATCCCGGGAAGGTACACCATCTTAGGTGGTATACCCCTGGGGGATACTACCATCCTGGGGGGTACTCCCCCCTGGATGGTATACCATTCTGGGTGGTAATTTCCTCCCGGTGGTACTACCATCCCGGATGGTATCCATCTGGGAGGTACTACCCTCATGGGAGGTATCCTTCCCGGGTAGTATACCATCCCGGGTGGTATACCATCCTGGATGGTACTACCATCCTGGATGGTACTACCATCATTGGAGGTACTACCATCATGGGAGGTTCTACCATCCATCCTGTTATACGAGTTTGACCTAGCACCCAATTAAATATTTTGCACTCTGACAGGGTTCCTAATATTCCTATTTTACGTAAAGCAGCAAGGTTTCAGATAAGCCTTTCAAACCTCCCCCTGAACACCCTACACAAACCTTCTTGTCCTGGACTAAGACCAGCATTTACAGTCTCAACCTCTCTTGTAGGCCATAGGGGCATTTATCCACCTAGCAGTATTCCATCTCTATATACTTCGCGACAGGTACTGGCAAACTGGATTTCGACTCATTCGTGCGTGTGGTTGGGCACTTCCTGGAGGAACAGGACGAGGAGGCCATGCAGAAGGAGCTGAAGGAGGCCTTTAGGCTGTATGATAAGGAAGGTGAGTGGCTGTATGGAAATTGTGGTTGTAAAGTATTGTTGTTGTCTGGGCGGCTGACTGGTAGGTGTTTGAGTGGACCATGGTTCGAATCATGGGTTTATTATGGCGTGTTAGAGGAGGGAGTGTTTGGTTAGTAAAGATAACTAGGTGTTTTAAAGACACAGACACACACACACACACACACACACACACACACACACACACACTACAGCAGAGGCGAGGCCAAAAGCTGTAACTCGACCCCTGCGACCACAAATATATGAGTACAAGTGGGTAAATACACACACACACACACACACTAGTCATAGTGGATGACTACATAGGGACATTATAAACTGGGGGCCAAAAACTAATAACAGTGATGTACAACCCGCCACCGAACAGCAGCAGGCCTTGACAGAAATACAATGAGAACAACAGAAAGATGGTGGACACACTAGCCGAGGTGGCCAAAAGGGCCAACATAAGCAGGGCAAAATTACTCATCATGGGGGATTTCAACCATAAGGAGATTGAATGGGAGAATCTAGAACCACATTGGGGACCTGAGACGTGGAGAACCAAGATGCTGGAGGCGGTACTGGAAAACTTTATGTACCAATAAGTTACTGACACAATCAGAGAGAGAGACGATGAACCAGCAAGGCTAAACCTTGTATTCACCTTGAGCAATTTAGATATAGGGGATATCACACTCAGCAGTAAGACAACAGAGAGAGGGGTGGGTAGATTGCGGTTGACACAGTTCCACACAAGAAATCAGTGCAAAAGCTGGAGGACCAGGCAGGGATAACAAGAAAGGCACTGCAATGGATCAGGTAATGCCTGTCAGGAAGACAACAGCGAATCATGGTACTTGGCGAGGTGTCAAAGTGGGCGCCTGTAACGAGCGGGGTTCCACAGGGGTCAGTTTTAGGACCGGTGCTGTTTCTGGTATTTGTGAACATGACGGAAGGAATAGACTCCGAAGTGTCGCTATTTGCAGATGACGAAGTTGATGAGAAGAATTCAAACGAACGAGGACCAGGCAGAACTACAAAGGGATCTGGACAGGCTGCAGACCTGGTCCAGCAACTGGCTCCTGGAGTTCAACCCCACCAAGTGCAAAGTCATGAAGATTGGGGATGGGCAAAGAAGACCGCAGACGGAGTACAGCCTAGGGGACCAGAGACTATAAACCTCACTCGAGGAAAAGGATCTTGGGGTGAGTATAACACCAGGCACATCTGAGGCGCACATCGACTAAATAACTGCTGCAGCATACGAGCGCCTAGCAAACCTAATAACAGCATTCCGACATCTTAATAAGGAATCGTTCAGGATCCTGTTCACCGTGTACGTTAGGCCCATATTGGAATATGTAGCAATAGTTTGGAACCCACACCTAGCCAACACGTAAAGAAACTAGAGAAAGTGCAAAGGTTTACAACTAGACTAGTCCCGGAGCTAAGAGGTATGTCCTACGAGGAGAGGTTAAGGGAAATCAACCCGACGACACTGGAGGACAGGAGGGGGAGAGAGAGAGAGAGAGAGAGAGAGAGAGAGAGAGAGAGAGAGAGAGAGAGAGAGAGAGAGGACGTTTAAAATACTGAGAGGAATCGACAAGGTGGACAGAGACAGGATGTTCCAGAGATGGGACACAGCAACAAGGGGACACAGTTGGAAGTTGAAGAGTGAAATGAATCACAGGGATGTTAGGAAGTATTTCTTCGGTCACAGAGTTGCCAGGAAGTGGAATAGTCTAGGAAATGATGTAGTGGAGGCAGGTTCCATACATAGCTTTAAGAAAAGTTATGATAAAGCTCATGGAGCGGGAAGAGTGACCTAGTAGCGGCCAGCAAAGAGGCAGGGCCTGGAGCTGTGAATCGACCCCTGCAACCACAACTAGGTGAATATACTAAAGGCCCCTAGGCGGTAGTGATCACACTGTTATGAGCTTCGAATATATAGAGGAGTTAACAATGGAGAGTCGAACAACACGAGAAGGTCCAGAGAAACCAGACTTCCAAAAGGGAACTTCACAAGCACGAGACAGTTCCTACATGAGGTGCAGTGGGTAAGAGAGCTATAGAGGAAGATAGTAAGTGAAATAATGGAACGTATGACCACAAAGTACAGGGAGGCCGAGGAGAAGTTGGTACCAAGGGTCAACAGAAACACTGGGAAGACCAGAGTGAGCCCTTGGTTTACCAGGTGTGGAGAGGCCAAAGCCAAGTGAGGTAGAGTATGGAAAAACTATAGAAGGAAAAGACCCAGGAAAACAGCCGAGTCGAAGAGCCAGAAATGAATATACATGGATAAGGAGAGAAGCCCAACGTTAGTATGGGAATGACACAGCCTTATCTGAGCCAGAGTTGTTATACAGCCACATCAGGAGGAAAACAACAGTCAAGGACCAGGTAATCAGGCCGAAAAAGGAAGGAAGGGAGCTGACAGGGGGCGACCATGAAGTATGTGGAGAGCTGAGCTCAAAATTCGGGGAAGAATCTCTCAGTGGAGACAGAGGCTCCCAGAACACCGAGGTGGTGGGGTGCACCAGCTAGTACTTGACACACTGCACACAACCGAGGAGGAGGTGAAGAAACTGCTAGGGGAACTAGATACCTCGAAGGCGGTGGGTCAACATCTCTCCTTAGGTGCTAAGAGAATGAGCAGAGACACTGTGTGTGAAACTAACAATAATCTTCAATAAATCTAATAAAAAAGAGTAACAGCCCGAGGTATGGAAGACAAATGTAGTCACAATTTTTAAGAAAGGAGACAGACAACATTAAACAATAGACCAGTGTCAGTGCAACTGCAAATAGGTAAGAACACACACACACACACACACACACACACACACACACACACACACACACACACACACACACACACACACACACACACACACACACACAGAGCTAAGGGGAATGTCCTATGAAGAAAGATTAAGGGAAATCGGCCTGACGACACTGGAGGACAGGAGGGTCAGGGGAGACATGATAACGACATATAAAATACTGCGTGGAATAAACAAGGTGGACAAGGACAGGATGTTCTAGGGAGGGGACACAGAAACAAGAGGCCACAATTGGAAGTTGAAGACACAAATGAGTCAGAGAGATATTAGGAAGTATTTCTTCAGTCATAGAGTTGTAAGGCAGTGGAATAGCCTAGAAAATGACGTAGTGGAGGCAGGAACCATACACAGTTTTAAGACGAGGTATGATAAAGCTCATGGAGCGGGGAGAGAGAGGGCCCAGTAGCAACCGGTGAAGAGGCGGGGCCAGGAGCTAGGACTCGACCCCTGCAACCACAAATAGGTGAGTACAAATAGGCGAGTACACACACACACACACACACACACACACACACACACACACACACACACACACAGACACACACACAGACACACACACAGACACACACACACACACAAACTAGCCTACAGTTAACTTCATAATTCCTAGTTTCTCCAGAGAGACTGGAAAACATACTAGTAACTACTGCAGTAGTACTACAACAGTAGTAATAGTAATAGTAACTACTTTTCTTGTCACAGGTAATGGATTCATCCCGACAGCGGCACTGAAGGAGATTCTAGGTGCCCTAGACGACAAACTCTCTAGTGCTGATCTAGACAACATTGTTGATGAAATTGATGAAGATGGATCAGGAACCGTTGACTTTGATGGTGAGTTTCTAGATTCCTAGAGAATGTCCTAGAGGATGTCCTAGAGGATGCTCTCTTTCTCTCTAGAGCTGATGGAAGGGGACCCTACCTTCCTAGATTCCTAGAGGATGCTCTTTCTCTAGAATTGATGGAAGGAGTCCTTCCCTTCCAATAGCCCTAGAGGATCCTGTCTCACTCTCTAGTGACGAAGGGATCCTTCCCTTCCTAGAGTCCTAGAGGATGCTCGCTCTCTTCTCTAGTGACGAAGGGATCATTCCCTTCCTAGAGTCCTAGACGATGCTCGCTTTCTCTTCCCTAGTGACGAAGGGATCCTTCCCTTCCTAGAGTTCTAGAGGATGCTCTCTCTCTCTCTACAGCTGATGGAAGGGGTCCTTGCAGTCCTAGAGGACCCTCTCTCATTCTGTAGAGATAATGTAAGGGAACCTTGCCTTCCTAGTGTCCTAGAGGATGCACTCTCTTTTTCTAGAGCTGATGGGAAGGGCTCCTTCTCTTCTTAGAGTCCTAGCAATGTTTTTCCTATTATTTCTGAGTGATGGAGGTCATCATCCTGGGAAAGTGCTGAGTGGGGAACCTACCCAGCTGTTGCTGCGCTGAGTGTTGGCCTGGATTACCAACCCAAGATAACCCTAGGAAAACCCAGGAAGAACCCAGGGTAACCCAGAATAACCCAGCATAACCCAGGATAACCCCAAAATAACCCAGGATGTCATTAGACTGGGGTAATTTTATTCTCTCCCCAGGATGCCACCCACAATAGTCAACTAACTCCCTGGTACCTATTTACTGATTATTATTGTTGTAATTATCTTTAGTTATCTTGATTTTAATTATTAATTTTGGTCCTCAGAATTCATGGAGATGATGACTGGTGATTAGTCGGCCCATCAGGCCAATCATAAACCAGCCTTCCTGACTAATCAGAAGCCAGCCTTCCTGACCAATCAGAAGCCAGTCTTCCTGACCAATCAGAAACCAGCCTTCTTGACCTATCAGAGGTCAGCCTTCCTGGCCAATCAGAAGCCAGCCTTTCTAACCAATCAGCTAACAGCTTTTCTGACCAATCAGAAGCGAGCATCTGCCTCCAGCAGCAAGTCTTTTTGATCAATCAGAAGTCAGCCTTCCTAGCCAATCAGAAGCCAGCCTTTCTAACCAATCAGAAGTCAGACTTCCTGACCCATCAGAAGTCTCCAAGATTCTGATCCCAGCCCATCATAAGAGGAATCAGGTCCAAGATCGGAGACCCTTTCGCTCTAAGAGTCGAAAATCTGATTGGTCAGCCCTTTCGAGGGGTCTTTAAGGGGAATCTTTCAAGGGGTGTTTTAAGGGGTCTTTCAAAGGGTCTTTCAAAGGGTCTTTCAAAGGGTGTTTTAAGGGGTCTTTCAAGGGGAATCTTTCAAAGGGTGTTTTAAGGGGTCTTTCAGAGGGTCTTTCAAAGGGTCTTTCAAAGGGTGTTTTAAGGGGTCTTTCAAGGGGTCCTTCAAAGGGTCTTTCAAAGGGTCTTTCAAGGGGAATCTTTCAAGGGGTCTCTTAAGGGGTCTTTCAGGGGGTCTTTCAAGCCCCCCTCGTCCACTGCTTCACAACTAACTGGCTCGTAGCTCCCATTTTCCTACCCTTAACACTTAACCCTTTAACTCTTAACCCCTTAACCCCTTAACCCTTAATCCCTTATCGTTATCCCCCTTCCCTCACTCCTTTGGAAAACACTATACACACATAAGTGAAGATTTTACATTTTTCAGTGTATATACACTGAGAGGTGTATGTCTGTCAGTGTATATACACAGAGAGGTGTATGTCTGTCAGTGTATATACACTGAGAGGTGTATGTCTGTCAGTGTATATACACTGAGAGGTGTATGTCTGTCAGTGTATATACACAGAGAGGTGTATGTCTGTCAGTGTATATACACTGAGAGGTGTATGTCTGTCAGTGTATATACACTGAGAGGTGTATGTCTGTCAGTGTATATACACTGAGAGGTGTATGTCTGTCAGTGTATATACACTGAGAGGTGTATGTCTGTCAGTGTATATACACTGAGAGGTGTATGTCTGTCAGTGTATATACACTGAGAGGTGTATGTCTGTCAGTGTATATACACTGAGAGGTGTATGTCTGTCAGTGTATATACACTGAGAGGTGTATGTCTGTCAGTGTATATACACTGAGAGGTGTATGTCTGTCAGTGTATATACACTGAGAGGTGTATGTCTGTCAGTGTATATACACTGAGAGGTGTATGTCTGTCAGTGTATATACACTGAGAGGTGTATGTCTGTCAGTCTATATAAACGTTAATAACCCCGGTGTAGTAGATAGACTTTAAACCTTGTAAGCCAATAACTAACACACACACACAGTCACAATACTCTGGCTACCACAATTACCAACTAACAGTCAAAATACCGTATCTACCACAATTCACAACTGAGCCACAATACCCTGGCTACCACAATTCACAACACTCACACATTAAGGAGTGGCTACTCTAGACGACGTTTCCCTCGGTCTGGGACTACTATCAAGCTACAACACATTTCGGTCTTGGACCAAAAATCTGCAAAGGCCAAAATTGATTTCAGATGAAAAAAAAATCGCCTTAAGATGGATTTGTGTACAAAATATGACCGAATTTGTATAATAAATAAAGGAATCATGATTTGTGTATATTTTACCTGTTGGCCAAGTATATACATTTCTCTCTCAGTGTATATACACAGAGAGAGGAAGATAAGAGATAAGATAAGATTTCGTTGGGATTTTTAACCCCGGAGGGTTAGCCACCCAGGATAACCCAAGAAAGTCAGTGCGTCATCGAGGACTGTCTAACTTATTTCCATTGGGGTCCTTAATCTTGTCCCCCAGGATGCGACCCACACCAGTCGACTAACACCCAGGTACCTATTTGCTGCTAGGTGAACAGGACAACAGGTGTAAGGAAACGTGTCGAAATGTTTCCACCCGCCGGGAATCGAACCCGGGCCCTCCGTGTGTGAAGCGGGAGCTTTAGCCACCAGGCCACCGGGCCAGGAAGGGCGGGACGAATGAAGCCAAACTATAAGAAAGGGGACCATGTGGTCATGAAGAATTTCCTGCACGAGGTTCAGTGGGACGAAGAACTGGCAGGGATGTCGGCAAACGAAATGATGAAATGTGGACAATAATATGCAAGGAAGCTGAGGAGAGGTTTGTTCCCAAGGGTAACAGAAATAACAAGAATGCTAGGATGAGCATTTGGTTTACCCAAAGGTGCAGGGAGCCCAAAACCAGGTGTACTAGAGAATGGAAGAAGTATAGAAAGCAAAGGACCCAGAAGAATAAAGAGAGCAGTCATAGAGCCAGAAATGAATGTGTACAGGTAAGAGGAGAGCCCAATGACAATACGGAAATGACATTGCAGCGAAAGCCAGATCTGACCCAAGCTGTTGAACAGCCACATCAGGAGGAAAGTAACAGTCATGGATCAGGTAATCAGGCTGAGGAAGGAAGGAGGAGAGATCACAAGAAACAACCGCTAAGTATGTGACGAGCTCAACATGAGATTCAAAGGAGTGTTCAAAGAGAAAACAGAAGGGACTCCAGAAAGATGGAGAGGTGGGGTACACCACCAAGTGCTGGACACAACACATACAACCGAGGAAGAAGTGAAGAGGCTGCTAAGTGAGCTAGATACCTCAAAGGTGATAGGGCCGGATAACATCTCTCCATGGGTCCTGAGAGAGGGAGCAGAGGCGCTATGTGTACCACTAACAATAATCTTCAACACACTATCGAAACAGGGCAACTACCTAAGATATGGAAGACAGCAAATGGGCCATTTCTTTTAAAAAAGAAGAGACACGAAGCATTAAATTGCAGACCAGTGTCACTGACATGTGTATTATGCAAGATCATGGAGAAGATTATCAGAAGAGTGGTGGAGCACCTAGAAAGGAATGATCTTATCAACGACACCCAGCACGATTTCAGGCACGGGAAATCCTGTGTCACAAACCTACTGGAGTTCTATGACAGGGTGACAACAGTAAGTCAGGAGAGAGAGGGGTAGGTAGATTGCATTTTCTTGGACTGTAAGAAGGCGTTTGACACAGTTCCACACAAGAGATTAGTGCAAAAGCTGGAGGACCAAGCAGGGATAACAGGAAGACAACAGCGAGTCGTGGTAGTGGCGAGGTCTCAGAGTGGGTGCCTGTAACGAACAGGGTTCAACAGGGGTCAGTCCTAGGACTGGTGCTGTTTCTAGTATTTGTGAACGACATGACGGAAGGAATAGACTCTGAAGAGTCCCTGTTAGCAGATGAGGGGAAGTTGATGAGAAGAAGTCAATCGGACGAGGACCAGGCAAAACTACAAAGGGAACTGGACAGGATGCAGGTCTGATCCAGCAAGTGGCTCCTGGAGTTCAACCCTTCCAAGTGCAAAGTCATGAAGAATGGGGAAGGGCAAAGACCGAGGATGGAGTACAGTCTACAGGGGCTAAAGACTGCAAACCTCATTCAAGAAAAAGGATCTTGGGGCGAGTACAATACCCAGCATATCTGAGGCGCACAACTAGATAACTGCTGCAGCATAGGGGCGCCTGGCAAGCCTAAGAATAGCGTCCCTTTACTTCAGTAAGAAATCGTTCAAGACTCTGTACACCGTGTACGTCAGGCCCATACTGAAGTATGCAGCACCAGTTTGGAAATCACACCTGGTCAAGCACGTCATGAAATTAGAAAAGTGCAAAATGTTTGCAACAAGACTAGTCCCGGAGGTAAGGGGCATGTCCGACGAGCAGAGGTTAAGGGAAATCGACGTGACGACACTGGAGGACAGGAGGGATATAGCAGACACGATAACGACCTATGAAACACTGGGAGGAATTGACAAGGTGAATAGGGACAGATGTTTCAGAGATGGGACACAGCAACAAGGGATCGCAGATTGAAGTTGGACTAAGATGAACCACAGGGATGTTAGGAAGAATTTCTTCAGTCATAGAGCTGTCAGGATTTGGAAGAGTCTGGAGGGTGATGTATTGGAGGCAGGATCCATACATAGTTTTAAAAAGAGGTATGATACATTTCATGGAGCCGGGAGAGAGTGGACTTAGTATCGACTAGTGAAGAGGCGGGGTCGTGGATTATGACTCGACCCCTGCAACCACAACTGAGTACAATTAGATGAGTACACAGTACACACTCAGAGGCTGTGAATCGACCCCTGAAACCATAAATAGGCAATTACACACAACAGTCACCTAATGACTGTTTCAAACCTAACTAGGCGAGAAAAACTAGACATGTCACTCACCTGTCCGGGTCACTACCACTCACCTGCCCAGGTTACTACCACTCACCTGCCCGGGTCACTACCACTCACCTGCCCAGGTCACTACCACTCACCTGTAGCTAGAACCTCATTACTAAGTATTAGCTAGGATTTATAAACGTGTTTCTAGCATTCTAGAAGAAACAGTGAGATGCTTTTACTAGTAACGATGCTTGCAGAAGCACTAGCAGACATTGGCTACTAAAACTAATTAGAACTTGCTTAGAGGTAGATTATAATTAAAATTAATTTCTAGAACTAGAGAAGATTATGTTAGAACTAGCTTAGATATAAATTAGGGTTAGAAATATTTACTAGGACTAGATAAATTTAACATTAGGAGATTAGAAGTCAGTTCGAAGAATTAATTACTAGAATTAACGAAGATTAATATTAGACTAGATTATATCTAAGATTTAGATTGGTTGCCTTTACCTCGGATCTCTGTGAGAATGAATACAGATATTCATTTCTAATGCTAAATAGTGCTAGAATGGGGCTATACATGAGATCCAAAAACAGTGCATAAATTCTATATTCTTCTATACATCGCCACACGTGAAAAAAATCCACCGTGTGTCAATAAAATAGGCCAAAAAAGTGAAAAAAACATACGAGAGGCCGACCAAAATCGAGCCGTGTTTTCCACCCGTTTTCTACGAGGTAAAAAAATCAGAGAGAAAGAGAAAGGGTAACTAAGGTAAAAAGTATTTCAATGCGATATTGTCGCAGCTGGAGGAGAAAAGGGGCGCTCAACTCGCCTCCTTTTACATACCCGATGGTACGTCTCGCCCACAACGTTTTTTGTGTCATTGTCTTTGCGCGTGTTTGTTCTGAAAACAAAACAAGGAAAATGAGGAGTTGCTGATTAATGTGTAATTATATATATATATATATAATATATATATATATATATAATATATATATATATATATATATATATATATATATATATATAATATATATAATACACAGGATAATATACATAGAAAATTAAAATTAATACTAACGCATTAAAAAATATATACAAACATATATAAAAATATTGGATATAATTCATTATGTGAATATTACATGGAATATATACTGAGAAATGTATATACATGCGGACCTTTATGTATCTCGGTGTGATAAATGGTTTTGAAAACCGACAAGTTGAAGACTGAGACACTTGTGCTACATATGGGAATCTTTACTGAAGAAACGTTTCGAAACACAGTGGCTTCATCAGTCGGATTTTAAACTATTTATCACATCTGTCAGACACTGCAGCATCATGGGATCTTGAGACAAATAATTCTTCAATGCTTGTCCAGACTTTGAAGGAAGACCTACTTACACTAGTGGATGGTCCCACTGTGATCCCACCTCCTCCTGCTACTTACACTAGTGGATGGTCTCACTGTGATCCCACCTCCTGCTACTTACACTAGTGGATGGTCTCACTGTGATCCCACCTCCTGCTACTTACACTAGTGGATAATCCCACTGTGATCCCACCTCCTGCTACTTACACTAGTGGATAATCCCACTGTGATCCCACCTCCTGCTACTTACACTAGTGGATAATCCCACTGTGATACCGCCTCCTCCTGCTTCCACTCACCTGACTGCAGTATATAAGCCACCTCTCTGGCCCTATGCTGTACTTCCTACAAGATTGATGGGCTGAACACATCGATTCCAGGCTGAGGGACTGATTACCTCAAACTCCGCTTCTCCTTACACTTTTCTGCTCTGTATTGGACTGATGAAGCCACTGTGTGGCGAAACGTTTGTTCAACAACGATTCCCACATGTTGCACAAGTGTCTTAATCTTCATGTATATCGGTGTATGTACACTGGTAGGTCACATTTTAAGAATTAAAGAATTCTTAACTGATGACCCTGGTATAGTAGATAGACTTTAAATCCCATTAACCAACCAACCAGTCTTAATAACCCTGACATAGTAGACAGACTTTAAACCCCATTAACCAACCAACCAGTCTTAATAACCCTGACATAGTAGACAGACTTTAAAACCCATTAACCAACCAACCAGTCTTAATAACCCTGACATAGTAGACAGACTTTAAACCCCATTAACCAACCAACCAGTCTTAATAACCCTGACATAGTAGACAGACTTTAAACCCCATTAACCAACCAACCAGTTTTAATGACGTTCGTGTAGTATATATATGTATATATCTCAGTTTAAAGTCATACAAGAAACACAGTACACAGATAGACACAGACAGAGACACACGCACAAAGGCGGGGCCAGGAGCTATGACTCGACCCCTGCACCACAACACACACACAAGTTCATCTTACCGTCACAAGAAAGATCTGTGATATTT